AGGCTTGAAACCCATTTATGATTCCTTGCCTTTCTTCACTCATTCCCACCAGTCTTGGGGTCCCTTCTTTCTCAATGTCATTTTTTGTGGTATTGGGGACTGAACTCAGATGCTCTACCACGGAGTTACATCCATAGCCTTTTTAATTTTTTGAGACAGAGTCCTGCTCAATTGCTGAATCTGCCCTCAAACTTGCAACCTGCCCACCTCAGCCTTCCGAGCTGCTGGGGTTATAGGTGGCGCCACTTACCTGGCCTAATATCTGTTTAAATTTGTTTTTTATTCCTGTGCCAATCCTGCCTTCTTAATTCTCGATTGTTTACTTAACTTCTAATACATCCTATGTAAAGATCCTATATCAATCCTCCTAACACACTGATGGTACCAGAGGAATGGGGACCTGATAACTGTAGAAATTTAAACTTCTGGGTCTAAAATACCCACTCTTCCAGAATCTGGCCCTAACTTCCCAGCTTGATCTCTTACCAGACCCTCTAAGAGCTTATTGCCTGAGCTAGCCAAACACCTACATTACTGTGTTCAGTGCTGGGTGACTCCAGATCTCTATGAGCCTACTGCTCCTCTAGCAGAGGAACATGCCCTTCCACCCACTTAACATTCTCTTTCATCTGGCAGGGGAGACACTGAAGACTCTCATGCAGACCCTGCCTTCTAGAACCGCCCCTCTGGGGCTCCGTTCTGACTCATGGTTTCTATTTTCAGATCTCTGGTGAAAGCTTGTCTCATTCTCTTCTGTCTCTGTGCCTTTAGATTTCCTGCTCTCATTTTCAGCTTAATTCCACTGTTAGTCTTGACTCTCATGGGAACTCAAAGGTCACATAGGGATGAAGACAGCAGCACAGAGTACCCCATTCCAACATGGCTCGGATAGTCCAGGGAAGCCAAGTTCCATACAGCAGTGACTTAGAAATAAGAGAGGATGGAAAGGGATCACGGATGAACTGCAGTGTTGGGTCTTGAAACACAGGTGAAACTTTCGGAGATGTTAAGAGAAAATGAATGAGCAGCACTTTAGACAGGAGGGACTACAGAAGTTCAAGGCACAGAGCCACTCTTGAGGAAATTGTGCTCTTTGCGCTTAATATATGGGAAAAGGGGAAATTTGCACAAAACCATACATAATTACAAACGCCAATTTGGTACAAATATGACTCTAAAAGCAAACTCATTCTTTCTGACTTATTTTGTCTAACTGGTGCCATATTCAAAAGCTTGTTTGTTGGCACAGGCCTGTACTCTCAGCCACTCAGGAAACTGAGGCAAAACAGAATGCTCCAGGCCAGCCTTGGCAATTTAGCAAGAACCTCAGCAACTTATCGAGACCATCTCAAAATTTAAAAAAAACTTTTAAAAATAAGGACTAGGAATGTAGCTCAATGATAGAGAACCCCTGGGTTCAATCCCCAGTACCAC